TTTCACAGATTTCCCAAAGACGACAGGATTTGGAACACGCTCTGGGTCTTAACAACAATTAATGCTATGGATTGGCTGTTTTCTTGTGCATGTTGAACTAATGTTAAAAGAAATATGACCACTAGTTACTGACTTCCATGTTCTATTGTTTGTTGTATATGTTTCTGTGCTAATATATCCTGTAGCATATAATGTATGTTATCCTGTCAGGTGATAAGGACTTATGCTTCTTGAGATAATTTAAATAATCCCTGCAATCCAAATGTCTTAATTTCTGTGTTGCTTGAGTCACTTATTGCCATGGACATACAAAGTAATTTTCTTATTGTATGAAATGCTCTCTGAAAGTAGTCACACAGAGTATACTTGAAGTGCAGGTTAGATACAGTGGTGAAAGTAAGCGGTAGTAACCTCAAAATGACACCAACAATACTGTCGATATACAACCACGAAATAGTTGGTTCATTATTAAGTAACATCCTAAAGCCAAAACGCTCATTTGAATATACAACCTCTACCATACCGAACTTTATTCATGAACATTAGGTTCAAAAGAGGTACACCAGCATCGATTGTCTAAATTATTCGTAAACCTTTTCTTCAGCTAATGTCTGATAAAAGTATGTGTCAAGGATAAATTACCGTTTTAGGCCATGTCAATGTATACTTCCTCTTACGCAGCTTGTTATACTGGTCACACAAACCATGCTCTTTCCAAACACGTATCCGACACTTTCTAGTCTGGTTAGCGAAAGTTGAATGGAAATTGTCCAACAGCTAAATCACTGAAAATTCTTCAGTGGCGAAAAGGTGTATTTCGTGATACCTACATTTTTTCATAATTGTTTTAGCGGATCATTGTCCAATTAAGTTCCAAAACACAGTCTTAAGTAAAGTTTATTTATTTAGTTGAACACGTAACGATGGGTACGGAAGAGAACAACACGCGCTACACAAATAATAAAATGAGGTTATGAAGGGATGGAGCATTTTCTGCGTAAATAAGGAATAAAGGTAGGTGGACAATAATAGTTTGAATGAGCGATTCGGTTTAGTTAAGAATACAACTAAGAAGGACGTCTTTCAGTGAAACATGTTTCTCACACTTATGAAGAATGTAACAGGAATGACATGGCTCAAAATCGTTTGCAATGGCGAAGGTGCGTCCACTCTGTGTTCTGCCAAATTTTAATCTTCTGAATTCTCCATGTCTCTATCTTTTCTCTTTCCAAATTTATTTCACTGGATTATACTCCTTGAATAACACCTTCAAGCCTTTATCTTTCCGATAACTGCTCTTACTACTTCTACTACTATGGGATTTGAATCGACGGCTGCATCTCTGTGTTAATGTCGTACGGCAACTCGAACTGATGTACGTACGTACGAAGTTCGACATTGTGACTGACTGAACGGGAAACTACTGAAAAACCATCATTGGCTTCTATTCCAAGCTATATCAGCTAGATACGTATCATGACGGCCATAAAAATGGTCCAGATTAGCATGAGTTGTTCAAGCTTTCACTATATGTGGACCAACTTCGCGTCACTCCACCACCAGCACCCACCAATATATTCGTGCACTAGGCCAGTAACTTACAACTCAGGCTTCAATACGGTGAATAAGACGGCCTCTATCCTCTTTATCTCTGCCCCACTAACTAGAGTTAGAGGTCCATTGTCGTAATGGAAGCTTTGTTAATCAGTTACGATTACCGCACTTTCTGTGCTGAGCAATTATCACTAAACGCGAATCACAGTAGAAATGCATCAAAAGTGTGCTGGAAGTCGACCTTACAAGTAGTTTAGGTCGATATTGATTTCCTTCTTTATAAGTTGTACTTGGTGATCGCACACCTTTAACACTCACATGATTACTCAGACAAATCTTCTGACCTATTCCTACGGATCGCCATCGTTCTATTTAACAGGATGGAGTGGAAAGATAATTATGAAGGATTACTGGAATCAAATATATAGAGGAAAATAGTTAGTGGATCTGTGTCATTCTGAGCCCAGTCTCCAACGTCTATTCGCAGTTGTCACCTGGACCCTAACCAGGCAGTTTGCGCTTTTCTACATATCAGACCAACAGCCAATGACTCCATGGACTATTGCGCATTTTCACTGACTATCCTCGGCTTCCTTCCAAACTACGCACGGGAGGCGGTTAGACATACACAATACACGTCCCAGCCATCTCAGTCCACGGAGATTTAAAGCTTTGTTGACCGACTTCCCATTTTTGCCAAGCACCATATGCCTAACCTCGACATTGCTCAATCGGCCATTTCAGGAAACGTGAACGATTCTCTGAAGACACTTGTGACTAAACTCTTTCAGTCTACAGATGTCTTTTACTCTGACAAACCAAGTTTCACAGCCATGAAGTAGAACTACCTAACATTTTATCAGTAGTCCAGGTGTTGAAGTTAACCAGTGCTGAAGTAACGCATCCCAAAAATCCTAGTATTATTGCTCAAGGTGACCGGAAGATTGCATTTTGTTAGCGTCTTCAACAAATAGGACTTCGTCAGCCGAGCACTTAAAGTTGACGAAACATTGAGTCCTTGGTTTGAACACGACTCAGCTACATTGATTCGGGCAACCAGGTAGTAGTCAGCGATTTATACTTAAATATATAGTGAGTTAATTTAAACGTAAGTTAGATTTGATAAACAGACCTCATGGTCGCATAACAGACATTTCAGGTATTTAAAAGTCAACACTAGCGTCAAGAAGTGAGGTAGCCAGTGATCCAATGTATAATTGGCCGTAATCAGTGTATGACAGGGGAAAGAGGTGAATGTACGATTAATAAATATTCAATATTTCAGTGCAGTGGGAAGTTGTTGCATAGGAAATGTAACTTTTCTGGCGGTAGGGACGATAGTCGCTCTATCTTAGGATGTCGGTAAACTTTACTTCACAATCCTGATCCGTTGTTTGACGAGAACTTTGCCTTCCTAAATAGAAGGCTTAGATGAATTATCTATGGCGCTGGAAGTTAGTTTCTCCCCATGTAAGGTGAAACACTTGCTAGAGATTACAGTGAACAGGGCATTCTGATGGAACAGTTTCTTGAAAACACTGTCCCCCCACACTTCATTAGCCGTTGTCCCATCAGCACAATTAGTCTCACTCATACAAGCTTGCTGTCAGTTCTATTTATTTTAACATAAATATTAGTGCAAGGGGGTACCAGATTTATATGCGCCACATTGTCTCGGATGAGCTCATATACCCTGTGGTAAGTGCCAAATGTAGCTGCCGCTTTCATATCCGTCCATGTTTCTGTCTTCCTTTTTAAAAGTAACATAATACTTATGTATAAGGATCAACGATTAGCTTGCTTACCGTCTAACCGTGGATCTGCAGTGTATCACCTTGAGAGAATATACGCTTGTAACAGGTCCTATATTCATTACGTCCATACGCAAATCAAGATCACTAGCTACTATGTTTATCGATTTCTTGAAGGTCTATTACCTAGGTTAAACAAACCTACAGTTCTCAATTATCGTGACAAGAAACTTTTCCGTTTGACTACACTACGAACAAACCTGCGCAATATCTGACTAGATATCTCAGTAACAGTCTTCTAATCAGTATTGCGTTAAATCATCTTGTATTTGGTACACAGATGTTCCCGAGATACATTTACCGTAAAAATTGATTACAATATTTAGGCCATCTCTTTGTCACAAACAAAATAAGAACTCGAGCAAACACCCAAGAAACAGTAAATGGTTTTGAGCCATGTCACCTAGTTTATAAACATCATTATTATCGCCCTACCATATTTTCAAATACAATTTGGAACAGTGGTTAAAGCGGACCTGAGCCCGCATCACCAACTTTAGTCTGGCCAATCTGTATGTAATATCAACCCCGTTAATAAATCTAAATGTTAGCTGCAATAAATGCAGTTTTGTATGTTTGATTACATCCCGCCCATCTAACACATGGTTGTTAAAATATCTGAGTACAAGTAGTCTTCAACTGTAAATTATCATTATCACAAGGACTGCCGGCAGCCTCTTTATTACTACATGACTTTTCAATCAACCCTATCTTTAAGAAATGGCTGTGGAAATTATGCTTTTAGACAAAAATACTGTCAACTGAATGGTAGTTTCGGTGAATCCTTAAAGGCATTTGTCAAACTATGATCGGCATTTACCTAACAGGTTTCGTAATCTAGTTTCTGGTTTAATACTACAGTGTATAAACAAGCTTAGAAGAACTAGATGTTGAGTTTATGATCTGATAATAATGAAGACTGTTTGTATTTTATATTATTATATGTGAGACAAAAATGCTATTAATACTTACCAGCAGCCTTATAATCTAAAACATAGTTTCCAATAATAGCTTGTAATCGCACTACGTTGTGAAATGGTGGCTTAGTGCTTAGGGAGTTTGACTTTCAGCCACTACGTTTCAGGTTTGGACCTCGCTCTACCTATTTTGTTTCGGGTAACTGGGTAGCATCATTAGCTTTCACACTAAGAGTGCAGCTTATATCCAAGTACATGGTAAATGAGTTGTTTTATCCACAGTATTACATGTTTTATTTTTATTCCAAATAAAACAGATGAACTCATATGTCTAGGACTGCAATTAAATAATTTCTTTTAGCATATATGAACCTTGTAAGGATTTCCTTGATATTCCCATTGTTACAGGCGTTATAAAGAGATGGATGATAGCTAGTAGTTGGACGGATTTAGAACGCGTATTTTGTCACACTTGGAGCTTTTCAGCTCGATGAAATAGGAGGCCGAATTTTGGGTGCTTTTAAATACATCAGAGAATAGCCAAGTGGCTGTTGATACTTAGTAAACATTTATAAATAAGTTAGATTATTCATACGATAAAAAAATAACAACTGCTCCTTAGTTACAATTTTGTAAAACTTTCTTTCTTTGACGCATCATGTGAGTGTACATTGTCTTTGAACCTTTAGAAATGAGTTGTGACGTAATGACAGCTTACCTGGAATGTAGGTTATAAGTATAGCAGCCAAAGCAAACCAATAACTGAGTGAACAATTTAAAGCATTTGGAAGATCGAAGGAATATTGTTCTGTTTCCCTCAGTCTTTTTATGCCACTTACTATTAGAAGAACCTCACCCTGAAACATTGATTAAGCATGAAATTCTATGACTTACAGAAATCCCAGTTGGATACAAAACCAGAAAGCCTGAGTACCTTTCGAAATAAATGAATTAAAAATTTTCCTCACCTCAACCAAGTTAGCAGATTTAACTTTACCCTACAAATATCTGCCACATAATATGAATAACGAATCATTTCAGCAATAGACCACGATATAACAATGAGTGGGACACCCAAATTATCACGTGCAACCTGAAGTATTAAGTCATACTAAAACCACTTACTTCCGGAACCACATATAAAATTCCCCACACAACTAGTAGTCGGGAGGATACCTGCAACATGGTTGTCATGACGGAAGATCTAACTAATCCTACTACAGAATGGATTATCTACAGAAGTTAGTTTTTTCGACATAACTACCTCGACGACAGCTAGAGATTGGAACAGGCGTAGAAAAATATCTACTTGAACGCTTAACTCAAACCACTTTCTTTTGAAGGATGACTCAAGTATGTACAAAGAAAGTATATAACCCCATCTATGAACTGTTGACATATTACATCCGGACAAACCCCATTAGCTGAAACCCATTGTATATTCCCAGATAACTTTTCTTGATACTCATCCGTACTTTTAAGATATCATAAAAATATTTAAAGAATCCATTAACATCTAGCGTCTCAAGAATATGAAGATAATGGTAAATCAAGTGTGGTCATATCGACGTCCTGTCTTTTTAATAACTAAAATTGTGTCTCAAATATATTTTACGCAAAACACAAAATTACTTGCAAATGGTATGGGTTCGCATGTGAGTCATGCTTGATAAAATGTTAATGAGTCACTTAAGTCCAAATAAAGGGTGAATATTTAACAAGTACTGTCCTCTCTTACAAGTCACTCTAAATGACGATCTGCATCACAGATCCTTAGACAACACTTACAAACGATTTAAGTCAATTGGGTTCAATATCTCAAAAAGGCACTGCTTGGTGAGCGGTTTGATTCGCTATAGAATGAGGCTAATCCTCTAAGGAAAATGGTGACTAAGCATATAAGAGCGTAGTCTTTTCTGCTCAGAGGTTACGTTTCACAAACACAAACAGGAACTATTTGCCAGGCAGTGCTGAAACCCAACTTTCAGTGATAACTCGTCATAAACAGTGAAGCATCTCAGACACAATTTGATCACTATTTTTCGGGAAGATCGATTAGAAAACAAGCTACCTGTTTTTATCATATACCCTTACAGATGACTGGAAAGCACTTTGATGCTACCGAAAGTAGCAATTAACTAACATTCCAGAAATATCAGGAGACGGCTGTCTCTATAATTACAAAATCAGACATCACCAAATATATGATTGTGAAGAATATTTACGCTTGAAAATTGCTCGCGTCGTCTTGTGTAGTAAAGGAGTACCCACACAGTAGCACCTAGAACACAAGTCAAGAATTCAAGTTGTCTGTGTCATTTAACTTAGTAAAAGTTCGATTAAGTTTATTAATCTTAAATTATGGTAGCTTCGCAATTACATGTATACACATCTGATCTCGCCTATAAAGCACGGTGTCGTGAAAACTGCAAATACTTTGACCTACCGTCGTCTGATTCTGAGTGATATAGCCTTCTTTAGGATAATCTGACGACCAAACCAAGTATAAGGCACATCACATACGCAGGAGTGCACTGTACGAGAAAAAAGAACGACTAGGCAGGAGGCGAACAGCAATCAATGCGAGACTTTGCCATTAAAGTTTTTTGTCTTTCTAATCATTATTTTGAAGAGAATTTTTGGTGAGACTAGTTTGTAGACGAACCAATCAGATACAAGGTAATGTTTTAGATTTTGGCACGAACTTCACCCATCAATCTGGCTAGATAGCGTTTTGGCATTTAAGCCGATATCAGTTAGTGATGAAAACTCTAAATCAAGTTTCTAACGCTAACCATTGACTGTAAATCATAATCCTAATTCTTCAAACTCCTTGATAACCGTCATTTAGTCATAGTTAAAAGGTGGACATTCTCAGGGTTAATTTAGCATCACCCAAAGGTGGCCCATAAATTATAGTCTAACCAAATTTTTTTAGGGAAGTTCGGTGAAGAATTCTTGTCGGACAGACGTGGTGAGATTTGTATCACTAATACTATTTAGTATTTAGAAAGAAAATGTGAATGTACATAGCTAGAAGGGAGCTGCACTCTTATGATTGCTTAGTTCGATTCACTTTCGAGGTGGCAAAACCATCGAGGGTACCTAGCGATATTATTCCTTATTACTGAGACTGGAACCTTGAGTTTGCATGAGCGCTGTGCTTCGTGTTCATCACGTTCAATACACAATATCTCCATGTCTAGTCAGTAAACAAGTGATTATTTCGTGACTTTAGAGTTTCAGAGTTTTATTCATTTTCTTCGAAGTGGTTTGGGTTCCATAATATTCTCAGATGCCGGCTCAGTGGTCTATCAGTTAAGGACTCCGGCTCGAAACTGGTAGGTCCTGGGTTCGAATCTCGCGAGTGTGGGATCGTGGATGCGCACTGCTGAGGAGTCCCATAATAGGACGAAACGGCCATCCAGAGCTTCCAGGTTTTTGATGGTGTTCTAGCTTCAATTGACTCATGATTTCAACTGTGAAAATACCAAATTCTCCACAAAAACCCTTCTATTCTCAGATCGTCATGGACTAAGTGTCTATAACAACAGTTTTTCGCAGTTCCTGCTGTTTTTCATGTCAAATGAATAAACTATTTTGGCAACAGTTTCTCTTTCGATTTTGTTCTTATCAGTGACTGTGGTCGTTTAAAAGGCTTACTGTCAGAGCACTTCGATTTCGCCAATAAATCTCAATGTTCCTAAACTCCTGTTTTGGCAATCACCGTAGTTTTCTGAAATGACTTTTCAGACGACTGTTATGAGTATGAAGCCTCTTTCATGTCAATGATTTATGGAAATTGCTGTTTAGGGGTGTTTTACTTGTGTTCGATCCAACTGGTGTTTTTTCTTAACATGTCTTTTCCTATGTTCGATGTTTTGTGATACTCGTTTCTTCTTGCACTCGCTTGAAGACAATATTTTTATGAAGCTTATCACAACAAAATAGAACCTCATATCATTCATTTGTATACATAATCATCATTGGCAACTACTTAATATTCGTGCGCAAGGGAGATTGGAAAGTCAGTCACTAGAATCGTAGTATCCGCTGTTCAACATTTTGGTGTTATATTCAAAATGGAGTAGGTCCCTGGCGAAAATTTGATTTCTTGGCTTTTATTGAGTACTTATGGGCGATAAAAGTTTCTTCATTGTTAAAGGTTGAAAATGGAATCGAAGAAGCCCAAAAGCAGAGTGTCAACTATATTTCTGCCAACTTTTGTTCATGCAGTGAGGGCACATAGTACCAGTTTGAGAATAATAGAGTAATTGGCGTAAAGTCTGTTAGAAAAAAGTTTATTGGTCATCACTCAGTGATAGGAAGTTTATTTTAATATAAAAAGTTTCTAAAACTGATCTGAAAACCGTTTACACTCATATTGCTGATAATACTTGCCAAACAATCCCTCAACCCAAAGTATTCGCTGCGGCGCATTGCAAGCTTTAGTATTTGTATTTGCAACTTATTCGGGCTCAAGCAACGTAAATAATCGCACTAGTGAATATTCGAAATGAACTATGTTTCCAAAGCAAAGCTGTTAATGGTTGAAATCATTTTATTGATAGCTCTTAAGGATTCGGGTCTTCAAATTTCATTCTAGCTGCTTTGCGAAAGGTTGGAAAGGATTACTTAAGCTATGGTGAAGTCAGAGCAAATTGAATAATGTACCGTGATATATTTGAATTGATTTGAACCTGTTCCGAACATTACTGTAAACAAGCGGAACCTAACTATGCCATCTACTTATAATTACCTTAAAGCCTATTAAGTGTTTCATTTCATTCTCGTAGATTATAATGTTCTTGGAAATCAACTAATTTTTAATTGATCTAAATATGAAAATAGGTTTGATTTGACAAAGATATCGAATAAATTTAAGCTCTATATCGCTAAAAGATCAGAATATTTATAGCGGATTGTCTAAGGTCTAAAATGCAGTCATACTGTGGTAATTTGTTATTCGTTGAGCAATGTGTAAAAGAGTGGATATCCGAAAAATGTTGATAGTTATGTCTCCGATTAACATAAGCATTGTTAATTATTTGAACAGATATTTGGTAGACTGTGAAAGTCATTGGTTAACTATATTCATTGGTGACGTACGTCAGGAGGAACGCTCGTCATTTTCAATGATATAAAATAAAGTGTGTTTAATGAAGAGACAGAACCGAAGCTTTTCTCTCTTCCGATGAGTCTTCAACTTCGATGAACGGCCTTTCCGTTTCTAACTCCAACTCACCCTCATAATTCTATCCTGTATCGCTGTATCCTTTTATCTGAAGACTTTAACTAAAATTTATTCTAGCGTTGGCAGCTAGTATGAGATTTGTCTACTGATCCATCAGCACCCTCTTCTACTCAATTAATAATGGTTGGGCGTTGCTGAGACTTCATAACCATTCGTCTCACTACTCCTTTTCCCCTTTTTTTACTGCACCACATTTGTAGTGAACGGCTATGGAGCTTCTTCATACGTCAGGAACGAAACGTCATGTACGTGTTTGTCAAGTCAACAGCTTATATCAAGCGACTCCCACTCATCACTTCATGGCAACTATTAATTCAATAAACACTTCTATTTCATGAATGATAAGCAGGCGAATAAGTGCTACTGATCTTATTGAAATGATATGATCTAGTTATGGGATTCACCTGTTACACCGCATTCCTCTTATTTATGTAACGATGAATGTTAAGCTCTGGTAAAGTCAAAAAATTGAGTGATATCCGAAACGTAATAAATCCTTATTTTTGAGTCGACCTATTCGACATTAGAGCTCACGCAAGATATTTTGGTAATGCAACTCTATTTTGAACATATATAAGGTCAGTGCTTGTTTAAATGAAAGTCAGTTACCGTACTAATAACTTTCTTCGTTCTCGATAAAATAGGTGTACATTCGACTGCGAAATAATTGTTCACGTCCAGCTCAGACCCATTTAGAAGTATGGAATGATGTATATGAGTTCCTGATCGTACTGTAATATGGCCGTTTTAAAAGACCTATTAAATATTTTGGTAGGCAAAATGAGAAAAAATCTAGGTTATCTCACTTACTAAAATTAACATGCACCTTGTTACTTTCGCTATTAAAATAATTTTCCGTAATCTCAAACCATCCCTTATCTTAGCAAGCGTGAAGTCTGCCTGCCATTATACCTCCTAATCTAACTGTAATATTAGGAGTACTAGTGATCCCTGATGGGCTAGGTCCCGTGTCACTTTGAAGCCTGATTAGGGATGCAAACACTGGTCTCCCATAGAACCGAGATGTACTTGCAAACGGCAGATCACTTGAAAGTGTAAAAAGTGAAAGGATTGTTATAAATAGAAACCCTAGAGTTATAACAAGCATCCTTACCATCTATAACACTTGGCGACGGTGGTCAAAACGGATTTCCGCTTATATATTCAGTTAAAGTGAGTTTTGTAACAAAAAAGTAGATGATCTGAAATCCTTATTGCAACAGCAAAATTCTCTAATCGAATTATCAGTCAAAAATATGTCAATATCCTCAAGAACAAATGTGTCTAATTCCACTATGACTCCGGATTCCATTGCAAATTCAATAACTGAATTTAGATTTGATCCAGAAAGTGGAGTTACTTTCGAGGCGTGGTTTAAACGCCATAAGGATTTGTTTACTAATGAATGTAAAGAGTGGGACGAAGGTTCGAAGTTGAGATCATTATTAAGGAAGCTCGGAGTGTTCGAGCATGAAAAATGTTGTAATTTTATCCCCCCAAAGAAGCCAACCGATATAATCTTCAAAGAAATAGTTAAGTGCATGACACGTATATTTGGAGAACGGTCATCAATTTTTCTCACTAGATACCATTGTCTTCAACTTGTAAGGAAAACACATGTCGACTATTGGACGTATGCAAGCATCGTGAACCGGGAATGCGAACGATTCCGTTTACAAGAAATGTCCTCAGACCAGTTCAAATGCCTTATTTTTGTCTGTGGATTACAATCTTTAGTAGATACAGATATTAGTACATGAATACCGCGTTTATCGCGCGCTAAATCAACATGCAGCTGGCTTCGTTGTGATTGGTCAGCTCAATGGGAGATCTATTCGAATCTCTACCTAATATCTGGAAATATATTTAATCGTGTATGACAAATCACTGAACTTACTATTCCATATACTTTCATTAAAATCGTATTTGGATACTATAACTCACTTAATTTCCGGAATCACCTATCCAATTCGGTGAGTCTGTCATACGTTTATTTATTTATTTTTTATGACAGTATATTTTGTCACCACTAATATCTTCCTGCTATTCTTATCCATTGTTTTTCTACACTTTCACCGATCCTCACAATACATCCACCCTTGTGTTAAGCATAGGTTTTTATTGCTAGACTTCAGTCCTCGGCATTGATTTTTTTCTTTCATCTCTATTTCCAATATTTTGTTCAATTCATCTGCTATACGTCACTTTTTTATCATGCAACAAAAGAAAATAAAGGCCTCTGCTTGTAGGCGTCCAGCCAAACGTAGGAAAACTACGCAATCTAAAATTACTACTGACAGTTTCAATGAGACGAGCTACTCCGTTCATCCGGAAGCAGACAAGCTTTTGCCAGTTGTCTCCATTCCAGACGTGTTGAAGACTGTGTTGGTAAACAATGATGATAATCACAACTGCAACCATACGAATGATATAAAAAGGCTGAAAGTTGACATGAAAATTCCCAATCCCCTCAAGTATCTCATCAACCCTAACCTCACAGAGACTCCAGATCAAATGAATGACATAAATAACTTCTTAGGTCGTGTTGCATCAGAGGTATTTGAAAGAATAAGGCGATCTAGCAATGAAATTGTGTTTAATATACCGGACTCATATGCCCTTAAAAATATCAAAACTAGTCTGCTTAGAGCCAGCAATATGACACACGTACCATGTGTATGCTCAAGATTAAAAAGAAGTCACCCTGATATACACTCACCGATCTTGATCAAATTCAACCCATCTGTAGACGCTAGTGAGTTTTTAAATTCCTCCAATTCATTGAAACAGAAACAGATTTTCAAAGATATTAAGATTCTACCAGATAGAACACCATGCCAACGAAAAGCAGGACGAGATAACCACAGACTACCAGCATCAAACACCCAAGCGTATCATAATCCTAAAGGTCATAACATTAAGTCCGATCCTAAGCGGACATCTAAC